ACCAAGTGTAAAGAAGCCATGAATAAGGTACTTTAACTAAGTCTGGGGGACACTGGGGACACAGGCTTAAAGGGGCAGTGTCCCAAACAAGTCTGGGGACACCGTCTTAAAGGGGCATTGTCCGAATTTTCCCATTATCCCAAAAATGTGCTTAAAGGGCCAGCACCAGTCCAATAAAAGTCCATTATCCCCAATAATATTCTTAAAGGGCCACACACCCCCAGGCCATAGTCGCAGGGCAGGAGGCTGGCAAGCAGGCCTCTCCAGGATCAAGTGGCAAAGGGCACTTTGTCACAATACTCCACATCATCTTCCACCCATTCATCAACCCTGCCCTCCTTGCTGGTCTGCACACTGCCAAAAGCCACAGCAGTTGGCACCTGTGTTTCGTCATCATCAGAGTCATGCTGCGGTAGTCCTTGCATGTCCACATCCTGACACATAAGTGGTTGTGCATCAGTGCATTCAATCTATTCCACTTCTGGGGCAGGGCTAGGTGGATGGCCCACGGAAACCCCGCCAGCAGAGTTATCAAAAAGCATAAGAGACTACTGCATGACTTTTGGCTCAGACTGCTTGGCTGATTTGCAAGGGGGTGAGGTGAAAGACACATGGCCATGGGCTGCAGGTGCCAACTCTGAGCTTTCAGCAGGGGACAGGGTGGGAGACAATGTGCAGGACATTAGCTCTGGTAAATGTGAGTTTTATACTATTATTTTTACATCTATACCTGAATTTTACATACTACACCATTGGATGTCCCTTCTCCCTCTTTTTATTTTTCATAACGAGTGAAGCCACCACATAAATAGAAGACCCCATCAACCAAAGACACCTGTAAGAATATACCAGTTGGACTTTCTCTCTTTTCTTCCTTTTATTGGACTTTATTCATGTGCGCAGCCTTTTATTGTTTTTACTTTATCCTGGGAGGTAAATTGCCTGCACACTTCCACTTTTGGGTGGTCTGCCTGTGTGGTACTTGGTTCAGTCAGCCCCATTGACTGAACCAAGTGTAAAGAAGCCATGAATAAGGTACTTTAACTAAGTCTGGGGGACACTGGGGACACAGGCTTAAAGGGGCAGTGTCCCAAACAAGTCTGGGGACACCGTCTTAAAGGGGCATTGTCCGAATTTTCCCATTGTCCCAAAAATGTGCTTAAAGGGCCAGCACCAGTCCAATAAAAGTCCATTATCCCCAATAATATTCTTAAAGGGCCACACACCCCCAGGCCATAGTCGCAGGGCAGGAGGCTGGCAAGCAGGCCTCTCCAGGATCAAGTGGCAAAGGGCACTTTGTCACAATACTCCACATCATCTTCCACCCATTCATCAACCCTGCCCTCCTTGCTGGTCTGCACACTGCCAAAAGCCACAGCAGTTGGCACCTGTGTTTTGTCATCATCAGAGTCATGCTGCGGTAGTCCTTGCATGTCCACATCCTGACACATAAGTGGTTGTGCATCAGTGCATTCAATCTATTCCACTTCTGGGGCAGGGCTAGGTGGATGGCCCACGGAAACCCCGCCAGCAGAGTTATCAAAAAGCATAAGAGACTACTGCATGACTTTTGGCTCAGACTGCTTGGCTGATTTGCAAGGGGGTGAGGTGAAAGACACATGGCCATGGGCTGCAGGTGCCAACTCTGAGCTTTCAGCAGGGGACAGGGTGGGAGACAATGTGCAGGACCTAGAGGCAGTGTCAGCCATCCAATCTACTATCAGCCATCCAATCTACTATCGCCTCACCATTCGTAGAGCGGCATTCGGGCCTGCCAAATAACGCAGAAGGTTCTGTTGCGTACTCGCACATGAGGAATGTGTTTCACTTGTGCGTGTAGCTGGCACAGATCGACCACGTCCTCTCCTTGCAACAGGGATTCCACCAATACCAGCAGCGCCACAACCAGGGCTACGTTCCTTATTTGACGCTCTCCTCATTCTTTGCGTTTACCCACCAAACTAACAGATGTTTTATGTCAGGCGACAATGTAACCGCCAATAGTCAACAATTCTTTATTTTATTTTTAGTTTATTGAACTGCAAGAAATGCACCGCAGGCCGCAAATGTACTATTTAGCAGCAAAAAAATTTGAATTTTTTAAAGTGCGATGTAACCACAGTATTTGACGCTTCTAAATGAAGTGCATGGCCCACATTTACTATTTAGCAGCTTAGCACCAATACAATTAGAATTTTTACAACTGCACTGTAACTGCACTATTTGACGCTTCTATTTGACTCTCAGATATGAAGACCACCCCACTAATGTACTTTTTAGCAGTCAAAAATTTTAAGTTTTAAAACTGCAATGTGACAGCAGTATTTGATGCTTCTATTTGACTCTCAGATATGAAGTGCACCCCACTAATGTACTAGTTTGCAGAATTCTTTCCTACTATGTCCCTGAAAGTGGCAGCATCCTCTCCCTACACTAATAAGAGCTCATGTGCGTGCGGCACTACGTGACTCCAGCTTATATATAGAGGCTGGGTCACATGCTGCACTGGCCAATCACAGCCATGCCATTAGTAGGCATGGCTGTGATGGCTTCTAAGGGCACACAAGTCAAACGCTTGTTGAATGGCTGCCCTGCATGTCCAAGGATGTCAGGGACAAGATTGTAGACCTACACAAGGTTGGAATGGGCTGAAAGACCATTGTGAAGCAGCTTGGTGAGAAGGTGACAACAGCTGGTGCGATTATTCGCAAAAGGAAGAAACACAAAATGACTTTCAGTCTCCATTGGTCTGGTGCTCCATGCAAGATCTCACCTCGTGGAGTTACAATGATCATAAGAATAGTGAGGAATCAGACCAGAACTATACGGGAGGATCTTGATAATGATTTCAAGGCAGCTGGGACCATAGTCACCAAGAAAACAGTTGGTAACACACTATGCCGTGAAGGACAAAAATCCTGCAGCGCCCGCTGTAGCGGAGATGCAATATTCCCCAGGTTGTCTCCGCTTATAATCCAAGTGAGGCTCAGGAACAAGTAAATAATAAATCCATAGGCAAAGTTTCCAGCAGGTAAAATAACAGCAACCTCCCCACAGCAATCCCAATAACTGGACGACACACAGTTTCAGGAGCAGAACTGACAAGCCTTTAATCACAGTCTCCTTATAAAGCATGCTCCCATGCAAGGGAGGGATTACAGTAATTATTACAGTAGCCAATCCTGTCCTGGTAACCTCCCACACATCTCCTCCCCTCAGCCAGCATCATAATCCCCTTATCCAGTACACCAATTCCCCCCGTTTCTGGATGTACCCCTAAACGTAGGGGTACCTCTTTAAATCCTACATCCCCTGGTAGCCCTGACCTGGGTGAACAACATATCCAAAAACCACCCAGATCAGACCAGGGGTTCGGGAAAAGTATGGAGGGAATAAAATGACCGACCGCACGAACTGAGATAGCCGAATTCGGTTCCATGTGAATGGGCCCTGCGGTCGGTCCTGGCATAAGGGAATAAAATACACGAAAACCTCTAGCTATAGAGGCTTGGGAGGGTTCGCCTGAATCCCCTCGTTCGGTAGTCTCAGCGGTGTTCGCCTACTCGAGTGTCCGATTTTAGTTCCAGACACTCGACGGCTAAACACCGCTGTTCGGGAGTTTTAAAATGGCCGCCGCCACGTGTTCGTTTGTCGAATGGCGGCCACCCCCGAGAACAAAGGACGGCTACTTACTGTTCAATTACCCGTTCGCAACAATGTTGCAACGGGTAATTGAGAACACACTTCACACAGGGGAGGTCTGGTTGTTCGGTAGTTTCATTCGAATAAACTAAGGGAACGAAACTACCGAACAATCACAAGAATACAAGGCTTTAAAACACATAGGAAACTAACAGATCACACGAATGCATTTATTTCACAGACATTTGCAGGACAGCCCAGTGCCATCCGCTACACCCGCAAAGTCCCCCTGCTCAAAAAAGCACATGTACAGGCCCATCTGAAGTTTGCCAATGAACATCTGAATGATTCACAGGAAAACTGGGGGAAAGTGTTGTGGTCAGATGAGATCAAAATCGAGCTCTTTGGCATCAACTCGACTCGCAGTATTTAGAGATGGGGGAATACTGCCTATGACCCCCAGAAACCATCTGTCAGGTATACTCTATCATTCATGCTGCCGCCGGAACCCACTTCCGGGTTCACGGCGCTTAGCCCCGCCCCTTTCTCTGACGCGGTCCTTCCACGATACTTAGGAAGACCGCGCCAGATTCAAAGGGCTGGATTATTCACTCAGGTGCTGCATTGAGATCAGCTGCTCTACTTGATGCTACCGGCTCCACTCCTCTCCCGACCTCGGCTTGTAAACAGATTTCTACCTTCTCCACTTCTCGACCTCGGCTTGTAAAACGGACTTCTACCTTCTCCACTCCCAGACCTCGGCTAGTAAAAACGGACTTCTACCTTCTCCACTCCCAGACCTCAGCTAGTAAAAACGGACTTCCTTACTCTCCACTCCTAACGCTCAGCTTATTAATAGAGACTCCTAATTTCTCCTCCATTGGGTGAATTAACCCTTCCATTGCCAGAACTGCCTCTAAGTTAAGTAAACCTTTTTGCCAAGGAAACCAATTCATATTAATTAATTTATACAGTATTTAAATTTCACTAAAATTCTCTCTTGTCAATAAGGGATTGCTACTAAGTCTAATTCTTCCTGCAAATATCAATTTATTCAAGAACAAGAGAGGAAAAAATTAGAGGTGGACAGGGTCCACATCAATAGTTCCCAGAAAGGGTTACAGAGATATCAAGGGGCATAACCCCACAAAGTGGTTTAAAGAGAAAAGACTAAAGTGAAGTGGTTGTTCCACTGAAGATGGAAAAATTTGGACATCCACTTCACCAAATGATATCTCTAGTTAATTGAAATAAAATGATTATTAGGTATAACCTTTATTTAGCCGTCTTGGGGCAAAACAGAAAATAATAATAGAGTGTAATAATCGTGAAACACTCGTGAAGAAAACATGCTGCCGCCGGAACCCACTTCCGGGTTCACGGCGCTTAGCCCCGCCCCTTTCTCTGACGCGGTCCTTCCACGATACTTAGGAAGACCGCGCCAGATTCAAAGGGCTGGATTATTCACTCAGGTGCTGCATTGAGATCAGCTGCTCTACTTGATGCTACCGGCTCCATTCCTCTCCCGACCTCGGCTTGTAAACAGATTTCTACCTTCTCCACTTCTCGACCTCGGCTTGTAAAACGGACTTCTACCTTCTCCACTTCCAGACCTCGGCTAGTAAAAACGGACTTCTACCTTCTCCACTCCCAGACCTCGGCTAGTAAAAACGGACTTCCTTACTCTCCACTCCTAACGCACAGCTTATTAATAGAGACTCCTAATTTCTCCTCCATTGGGTGAATTAACCCTTCCATTGCCAGAACTGCCTCTAAGTTAAGTAAACCTTTTTGCCAAGGAAACCAATTCATATTAATTAATTTATACAGTATTTAAATTTCACTAAAATTCTCTCTTGTCAATAAGGGATTGCTACTAAGTCTAATTCTTCCTGCAAATATCAATTTATTCTAGAACAAGAGAGGAAAAAATTAGAGGTGGACAGGGTCCACATCAATAGTTCCCAGAAAGGGTTACAGAGATATCAAGGGGCATAACCCCACAAAGTGGTTTAAAGAGAAAAGACTAAAGTGAAGTGGTTGTTCCACTGAAGATGGAAAAATTTTTGGACATCCACTTCACCAAATGATATCTCTAATTAATTGAAATAAAATGATTATTAGGTATAACCTTTATTTAGCCGTCTTGGGGCAAAACAGAAAATAATAATAGAGTGTAATAATCGTGAAACACTCGTGAAGAAAACACGTGAAATAAAAACTGGGTAGATGCAATGTGGATGTCCTCAAAATATAATAATAAAGTGGTATCTAAACTCAGAGTTATAGTAACCGGTACAGTATAGTATAATGTATATTTAGTTAGATACCACAAAAGGAAAAAGTTTTATCCAAAGTCTGCAGGGATCAAAAGATATCCCAGCTATATAGAGGTAGATCCACAAAACATCCCAAACATTCTAATAGGCTTCTCAAAGCATCCACTTAAGATTTAGGTAGATAGTTTCCATATAGAGTAAATCTATGGTAAGGTTTATCTAAAGTGTTGCAAATAAAGAGAGAATCTAGGGAAAAAGGGGGAGAGACACTGTATATGTAGTTGCTACTTAGTAATTAGTGCTTAAAGAGAGTATAGATAGTATATATCACAGGTTACAAATGAGAGCTTAGGTAGATCTAAAGAGGTGGTTAAATAGATTAACCCTGAGGGTTAATACATAGGTGTATGGATGAAGGCACCACCCAGTAATGCAAAAAGTCCCACCCAGGGACACAAAAGCCACCTGAATAGATAAAGAGTCACAGCCTAAGCTTGCTAAGTATATCTCCTACAAATACTAGATACCGCTGCTTCAAGGCAGCCTAGCACTATCAGTCCCTAGCTGAACGTTCTCAATGTGTACCATAAGGTCTCCGCTATTACCAAATAGTCTAAATAAATGTTACAAGTAACCCCCAATATAAGTGACTAAATCACTTCTTGCATCCCCCAGTAGTTAAAAACAAAAACGGCAAACACTCGACGCGCGTTTCGGCGTGACCACACGCCTTTATCAAGAGCTCCTGGCACGGCATACTGAGGGAGGGTAAATTTATATCGGGGAGGGTGCCGCCCACCGAGTTGCGTGTTCCAATCCGCTTCAAAGGGGGGGGCGTGATTATCTTCAAAACGCACCCTCCTCCTACTGAGGAAACTTATCAATCACGAAACCCTGTATGCGCATGCGGCGTTAGCCGTTACTATAGTGACGCGGCTAAACATTGTGCAGTACAGGGTTATCTGTCAGCTCTCTTCGAGATCCATGATCAAGTTAGGCTTGTATTTATTAACCACATATAGGGAGTAAATACAGATTTATTTTTACTGCTAGATTTAATTAAACTGTCATTTTGGTCTATCAGTCACTGTAATGGTGATACTCATTAATATGGTGTGAATTAAACTTATGACCCAATTTAATAAGGATCAATTATAGATATTCAGTGAACATTATTCCACCATAAGTATAAATTAAATGTATTGTTGGATCAGTTGTATATATTTATGTGTTAAACAGTATTTCACCATAGATCAGAGATAGATATAATATTGAGTATTACTCCAGTATTAGCTGGATCGTGACAGATTATATCATGTGTCCATAGATTGACAGAAATAGTATATATATATCCGCAGATCCTATTCTCAGTAGACTAAATAGGTGCCAGGTGTAAGGTATAAATACCGAAAATTATCGTAAAAATGAATCACATATAAAGTACATTTACAGACGTATAGGTTTCTATTGTATTTTACATATAAACAAATATTTACAAATATTTACAAAATGTGTAGTTAGTGATGATCACTCCATTCTGGTTATAATCAGTGACCAAATGCTATATATTAGTTAGATGTAGGGGGAAAATGAAAACCCTTCATTCAAACCATTTGGGTTAAGGGTTTTTAATTTGTATATCCACCTACATTCTTTTTGGCGTAGGAGTTTATCATAATCTCCCCGTCTTTGATCACGTTTAACCCATTCCAATCCACAGAACCTAATTGCACTAGAGTCACCCGCATGACAGTTTTTTAGGTGTCTAGAGATTGGAGTTTCCATACGATTTTTTGGGGATCTAACATGTTCTTTGATCCTTTCCTTAAAGGGTCTAAACGTTTTTCCTACATACATCATTCTACAGCCACAGATCAGGAGATATACCAGTCCAGCAGTATTACAGTTAAAGAAGTGGGTAATCTCAAAAGACTGTTGTCCAGCACTATCTTGGACTCTCTTTGAGTCCCGAAGAATGTACTTGCATGCAACACATCTTCCACACCCATAGGAGCCGCAGGGGGGATTACGGCCCAACCACGTCACTTTCCCTTGTTTCATTGAGAAGTGCCTTGGTACCAACATATCACGAAGGTTCTTTCCCCTGCGTGCTGTGATAGTTGCTCTAGAGGTAAGGACATCTTTAAGATGGACATCCTTTAGGAGAATAGGCCAAAATTTGTCTATTGACCTTTTCACTGTATTCCATCCTGTATCGAAGGTTCCAATCATACGGATAATCTTACTCGGTGGTTTTTGTTTAGATTGGTCCAAAATAAGATCATCTCTATTGAGTTCCATGGCTCTTTTATATGCTTTTTAAGGCATTTGTTCGGGTAACCTTTTTCCCGAAATTGTTGTCTTAATAGAGCCGCTTTTACCTTAAAGTCCGAAAGGTCCGTACAGTTCCTACGCACCCTCAAATATTGTCCTACCGGGATACCTTGTTTGAGGGGCCTAGGATGAAAACTATCCCATCTAAGAAATGCATTGGATGCTGTTGGTTTCTTGAAGAGAGTTGTTTTCAACGACCCATTCATGTTAATGGAGATGGTTATATCCAGAAAATTTAGGGTCTGTCCTCCAAATTCTGATGTAAATCTAAGATTCTCTTCATTTATATTCAACAGAGAGACAAATTTATTGAAATCTTCTTCGTCACCCAGCCAGACAATAAAAATATCGTCTATATACCTAAGCCATGTATGTATTTTAGGTATATAGTTCGAGAGGGTGCTAAATTTCATGATCTGTGACTCCCACCAGCCTAAGTGGAGGTTGGCGTAGGAGGGCGCACACGCCGTACCCATCGCCGTCCCCCTTATCTGGTGAAAGAATTTGTCATGAAATAAAAAATAATTGTGAGACAGAATGTAGCCTAATAGCTTAAGTACAAACTCGGTATGAGAAGTATGATTGGAACCTCTCTGGTCTAGAAAATATCTAGTATGTTCAATACCCCGTTCGTGGGGAATTGAAGAATAAAGGGCCTCAACGTCCAGGCTACAGAGCTTTGCTGAAGTGGGTAACTGAAGATTCGAAAAAAGTGATAGTGCCTCTTTCGTGTCTCTAACGTATGAAGGTAGTTGTTCAACGAAGGGTCTTATTATTTTCTCAATATAGAGACTCCCATTCTGAGTCAAATTGTCGACTCCAGAAACAATAGGGCGACCCGGTGGGGGTTGTATATTTTTATGGATTTTGGGCAGGCAGTAGAAGGTTGCTATCCTGGGGCATCGATTCAGAATGAATTCATATTCATCTCCGGACAGCAACCCTCCACTGCGGCCCTCATCCAGTATTTCCTTATATTTTGTTAGGAATGAATTTGTGGGGTCAGCTTTCAAGATCATATAGGTGTCTTTGTTATCCAAAACCTTCTGCACCATATTTTCATAGTCAGACACATTCATGACCACCACATTACCTCCCTTGTCAGCTGGTTTAATGACCAACTGGTCATTCTCTTTAAGTGACTTCAGAGCTTTTTGTTCTATTTTGGAAAGATTGTCATTGGGAAAAGAATCAAAATTACTGCTCTCTATACCCTCAATTTCGCTTTTAACTGCTTCTAGAAATAAATCCAGGTTCCTGAAACTAGCAAAATTGGGGGTAAAGCGGCTTTTTGGTTTCAGTTTGGTGTACTCCGGGGGCAAGTGAATATCGTTTTCATCTAGGAGTGATACTAGTGTATTGACCAACTCCAAGTCCCTACATGACAAACCACACGCTCTTGCTTTTTTCTCTTCATTGATAGTATGATATTTATGAAGAGCAAGTTTGCGTACAAACAAGTGTAAGTCCTTGATCCAAGTAAACTTATCGAAGACTGGTGTCGGTACAAACGAGAGTCCTTTCTCTAGTACTTGTATCTGGGATTCATTAAGCTCATAGATCGATAGATTAATCACATGTGGTTTGTTTATAGAGGGATATGTTATTTTAGGGTTTACACTCAGTATCGTCCCCTTCGTGCCCTCCCTCTCGCTCCTGCCCTTCCCGAATTTCTGGATTGGTAACGTGTCCGATAGTTGGGAATATCTTCTTGTTGACCCATCGCTAAAAAATTAACTCCTTTTTTAAGAATACTGCGAGGGTTACCAGTATTGGGAATTGGGGGGGCTTGTTGTTGGTCAGAGGGTGTGTATTGTACACTGGAGTCAGTGTCTGAAGAATCATATTCTGAAGTCATATTATTTTCAGAATTGGTTCTCAGACGACGGTTAGGAAACTTATATACATTTCCCAATTGATAGTCTTTCAGATCTCTCATAAACTTCTGATGTTTTCTAGATTTTATAGAGTCCTGATACCTATCAAGATTATTTTTAAGTTTGTTTTCCAATGTTAAGAAATTTGATTCACTTTTAAATACATTAAG